CCAAAAGTAGCGACCCTCCGAAAGTAGCGACTTCAAAAGCGATTTCCCTTCTTGCTAGAAATAACGGAAATGATAGTTATTTAACAACAAGCCGTTAACCAAACTGATCGAGATTTATTTTTAGCGGTTTTGGGTCTTTGACATTCCTTTATGTAACTCAAAAGGTACATTACATCTTATTCTTTTCGTGGGTGAATACCCACACCGTATAATTTAACAATTCTGTCGAATATTTATTTTAAAAAGCAATAACATGAAACAAGTTTCTCCAAATAAAAAGTGTGGATGTTTTTACTATTGTCGCGATATTTTTATTGCAACTTCGTATGGCCCATACGTGACTATACACACGTCTTAGCTACCCGAAAGTAGCAACCTCCTGAAAGTATAGAGACCCTCCAAAAGGGGCGATGGAAAAAGGCTGCTAAATCCGAAAGTAAAGAGGTCATTACATACGGATGAAGAATGCAGATCGCGGGGTCTGATCTTGCCGAGTCGTTGCACGGTATTTTCCCAGGCCTCGGTCAAACACTTTGGTGGCGTATCCGAGGCAACTGGGTGGGAAAAGCCCTCACTTCTTCGCTCGGACCACGTGACCCGAAACGCATTATATTGGTCGCCCAGAATAATGAGGTCTAGGGGCTGAACAAGGGTTGGTCTACCTCGGATAGTGCAGACTGGTTATGGAAGGCTGTAAACATCAAATGAAAAACGACGGTGCTGCAGTATACTGCTGGCAGGAGTCAGACTCCCTAACGGTGCACAATCCTTTGTCTTTTGTTCACAAATTGTGACGGAATAAATTACTGCGACATTTCTTATTTTACAGGAATGCTATTTAACGTTGTGTACCTAGAAGGCTTTCAAACCCACAAAAACATATAACTATTCAATTCCATATTCTTTTATTAATACTGCCCAGAGCAAAAACTCGCTCAACGATCTTAGTTTAGTCCCGTAATTTTTTTAAATAGTAAGTTATAATCAGTTTTAACACGTTTTATCGAAATATT